ACTGCTATTCAATCTATAACAGTGAAAAAAGTTTTTTGTTTTTAAATGCAAGCTATTGTGACACCAGATATGAGTGAGTGGTGGCACTGGGCACCGTATCCACTGTTAGCGTAACACACCCGATTTAAGGACACTGACTGCTATTCAATCTATAACAGTGAAAAAAAATTTTGTTTTTAAATGCAAGCTATTGTGACACCAATGAGTGGTGGCACTGGGCACCGTATCCACTTTGAGCTTAACACACCCGCTTTAAGGACACTGACTGCTATTCAATCTATAACAGTGAAAAAAGTTTTTTGTTTTTAAATGCAAGCTATTGTGACACCAGTGAGTGGTAGCACTGGGCACCCTATCCACTGTTAGCGTAACACACCCGCTTTAAGGACACTGACTGCTATTCAATCTATAACAGTGAAAAAAGTTTTTTGTTTTTAAATGCAAGCTATTGTGACACCAGATATGAGAGAGTGGTGGCACTGGGCACCGTGTCCACTGTGAGCTTAACACACCCGCTTTAAGGACACTGACTGCTATTCAATCTATAACAGTGAAAAAAGTTTTTTGTTTTTAAATGTAAGCTATTGTGACACCAGTGAGTGGTGTCACTGGGCACCATATCCATTGTGAGCTTAACACACCCGCTTTAAGGACACTGACTGCTATTCAATCTATAACAGTGAAAAAAGTTTTTTGTTTTTAAATGCAAGCTATTGTGACCCCAGATATGAGTGGTGGCACTGGGCACAGTATCCACTGTGAGCCTGACACACCCGCTTTAAGGACACTGACTGCTATTCAATCAATAACAGTGAAAAAGTTTTTTGTTTTTAAATGCAAGCTATTGTGACACCAGTGAGTGAGTGGTGGCACTGGGCACAGTATCCACCGTGAGCCTGACACACCCGCTTTAAGGACACTGACTGCTATTCAATCTATAACAGTGAAAAAAGTTTTTTGTTCTTAAATGCAAGCTATTGTGACACCAGATATGAGTGGTGGCACTGACTGGGCAAATGGGCACAGTATCCACTGTGAGCCTGACACAGAAGTTGGCAGCAGTGGCAGACAACTGACTGCTATTCAATCTATAACAGTGAAAAAAGTTTTTTGTTTTAAATGCAAGCTATTGTGACACCAGATATAAGTGGTGGCACTGACTGGGGAAATGGGCACAGTATCCACTGTGAGCCTGACACAGAAGCTGGCAGCAGTGGCAGACAACTAACTGCAATTACATTACACAAAAAAAAAAAGCATACCCTAACCCTAACCTAGCTATGCCTATCCCTATCTAATCAACAGCAGCTACACTTTCCCTCCTCTCACTAAGCATGCAGCTTGAGAATGAATGTAAAATGGATGCCTTCCAGTAGGTGGGAGGGTCTGCTAGAGAGGGTGTGCTGCTAATTGGCTGGAATGTGTCTGCTGACTGTGAGGTACAGGGTCAAAGTTTACTCAATGATGACGAATAGGGGGCGGATCGAACCGCGCATGCGTTCGCCATCCGCGGCGGACGCGAACACGCTATGTTCGCCGGGAACCGTTCGCCGGCGAACCGTTCGGTACATCACTAGTGTGTGGTATGAGCGCCATTCAGTAATAATGTGCGCTCAGACCTAAGCTATCTGGGGATGTGTTGCATGTCTGTATTTTACGTAATAAATATAACCTTGTGTATTTTATTGTATTTTAATACACAAGGTTACTCCATGTGGCTAATGGAGTTTTGCCTCTGTCCTTGGACACCCTCCACCCTTTATACCCCTCCCAATGTCCACAAAACTCTTCATTTGATCCAGGTGTTTTCGGTCCGGCGGCCGGTTTCTATGACGTCATCCTATGCGCCCATCCATCTCACATGCGTTCCACCTTGCGTTCCACCGCCGAAACCCGGAAGTAATCCAAATCTTAAATTCACAAGTCACACATCTTTTTTTATTTTCCAAAGTCTCTTTCAAAAGGCACAAATTCAGTGTATATGGACCGGAGGCAGAAAAAAGAGAGTGGGGGAAGGTTGCACACTTTAAATGGCACTACAGAATTCTAGTTACATAAAATTTACTTAAAATACACCAAACTTAATCCTAATGAAACTTATACAAACTGTATAGATATATAAAATAAATTAAGAGTTGAATAAAATAAATTAAATAAACAATAATTAAAAAATAAAATAAAAATAGAAAGAAAAAGAAAAAGAAAAAGAAAAAGAAAAAAAGAAAAAGAAACAATATAATAAAAAATATCCTATGGAATATTTGAAAGAATGCAACATAAATTGGGATATCACCTTTCGTTCACCCTATAAATGTGTGTGCTCTTTTATTTTAATTTTAATTTTTATTTCTTTTTTTATATATTTTTTATATATTTTTTTATATATATATTATTTTTTATTATTATTAATCATTTTTTTATTTTAATTTTATTTTTATTATTATTATTATTTTTTATTATATTTTTATATTACTTCCGGGTTTTGGCGGTGGAACGCATGGTGGAACGCATGTGAAATGGACGGGCGCATAGGATGACGTCATAGAAACCGGCCGCCGGACCGAAAACACCTGGATCAAATGAAGAGTTTTGTGGACATTGGGAGGTGTATAAAGGGTGGAGTAGGGAAGGGTTTTTTACATTGTTCATTTGTATGCTGTCATTTCTGGTCACTGAAGTCCCTGAGGAAGTCCTACATACGGACGAAACGCGTAGGACCCCTGGTGGTGACAGTGAGAATACATCCATTGTTTTATATTTCGATGTAAGTGATTAAATTATTCTTTCTACATTTTTAAATGTGTACTACAGTTCTATATTTTTTTCTTTTTGAGCACACACCTTTTAATTGTTCCATGAGAGTTTAAAAGTGGTGGAAGAACTTTTCCTGGAAAAGCATTTATGCTGAAAAAAGAAATTTATTCTCAAGGCATTCTTATTTCAACAAAAGTGTGAGTGGCCACTTGTCATTTATACATTTGGTTTATTCATACACACAGTTATGCGCTATGCATTGTTCTTGTTATTCATTTAGCAGATCATCCCCTTTTTTGCTACATATGCATAAATTAAGCACAGAATTAACATTAAGCAACTGGGAACAGAGTTCTGGACTGCCTAAGTCACGTGTGCGGGGGGGTGGAACTTGCCCTTAGCAAACAATTAAAAATACCTCTGAAACACTGCACACCCAGACTACTATCACTAGGACTACTTCAAAAAGCAGATGTGGTCATAGTGGTTGGAGTTACCCTTTAAACTCAAAAAGGCACACTAAAAGTGCTGAGAATTGGGTCAGGTGCCTACTCTGCCTAATGGGAAATCCAGCCCTACTTACTAGGCACTATGAACTTCTAACACTGCTTTTTGTGAAGGAGTCAATACAACAATAATCATACAAAGCACTGGGTATTTTAAAATTGCAAATGAAGAAATGCCATAAATTAACAAGCTTTTAAATGCCAAATTTTGTATAAAATTTGTGCTTTTCCTTCCACAAAAAGCTTGCATAATTTTAGAAAATGGCATGCTGATTAGTGTGGGCCAGCCTATTCACAGGTGTGTGCTTGGGGTATCCCATTATGTGGGAGCAAAAACTAAAACTTATGTCCCATGTCCTAACCTTAGTGAATGCACTAACTATAATGAAAGTGTAAAACTAGCTTTACTTACCTTCCAGGACCTGGCTATGGAGGAGTAGCAGGAGTGCTAGCACGCATGTCCAGCACAGGATCCAGTTGATTTCCTTCACCGGAAGTGACGAGGGTAGGGGACTTTCACGGGTAGGGGAATTTGATAGAACCCTGGCCCTTAAAGAGCCTGACCGGGCCCCTGCAGTATCTGCCAGCTGAGAGGAAGTGGCATGCAGTCATTTCCTCCCAGCTAGACAACCACAAGGGAGGAGGAAGCTGGAGGCAGCACCAGAGCAGGCAGTATGGAGAGGCTGGAATGAGCTGCTGCTGCATGCTCACTCCCATCAACCTCAGCCCAGACACAAAAAAGTAAGCTAACAGATGACTGCAATGTGTCAGCTTGTGTGTGTGTGTTTATCTCTGTGTGTAAGTGCTAGTGTGTGTATCTGAGTGTCTGTGTATGTGCCAGTGTGTGTGTGTGCGTCTGCAGGCAGTCTGCATCCAAATGTTGTACGCACTTTGATCTCTGAACACAATTAAAGTTTCCACGGCAACTGTATGCAGTCTGTTCCAAATCCCAGAAAAGCAGGAGCATCTTAGAACCTTTTCCCTTACCATTACAAAGTACCTTTCTTCCCTCTTATAAGGCACTGTAATGCATACAACCATATAAAATATGGATGGTCGCATTTATTTGTACAGCATTAATTCAAACCTTTCCTGGGAGGTTCATGAACTCGATAATGACTGCATGAAAATGCACTTCTTGATTCATCCACTGCCAGAGTTTCCTTTCAAGTGGTCTTTAGAGACATACTTGACCAGAAAAAATGAGGCATAAAGATGTGCGACACATTTTAATAACTTTGAATTATTTTTTTTTACTTTACTAAGAAAGCTATCCAGAAACACCAATAGATAAAATAGTGAATGAGTCTCTCATAGGAAAAGTGTGAATGGTTACTTTAGTCAAACAAACATATTACATATGGATATAAATTGTAGATTATGCTAGCTTTAGTGTACCTATAATCTTAATTTTATTAATGACAGGAGGCGAGTATTTGCTTAAGTCTCTCTTTACTAGAACTCCACAGCAGCACAGAAAACAACCAATCAGAAAAAAGTTAGGTATTATAAAACTCCCTTCCCATTGCATCATTTCCTCTTTC